TACACAGATATAGTTATATTGGTCAATACAATAATTTATTTGTTTATAAAGTAAAATTAATACTTTCTCATTGTGGTAGTCAAAAAACCTCAAATTCTTCTTGATAAACTACATAACAATGAATTATTAGTACTGCCAGGTGATGTGTCTGTGGAAGCCTCATATATTGCTAATCATAGACTTATTAGCCTTAAAATGTAAGATGTTCCTCTCTTAGGGAGAAGAAAAAAAAACATTTTGCAAACTGATCTAGAAAGAATATCCCAGATCTGGAAGTCAGGAAACTTGGCTTGTAGTCTCAATGCTGAAGCTAAATCCTTTATTTCCTTGTCTCCAGAATTTATACTTTTCCTACTTTATTATTTCAGAGATTGGTATGCATCTGCTTTGTGTGCTGTGGTCTTTTTTTAGACTTAAAATTTATAGTGTATTTCACAGTGAATGACATCTTAGAAGTGAGATCTGACAGCTGCCTGGCATTGGGTGAATCACCTGTTTCTTAAGATTTCCATTTCCTCATTTGTAAAATAAGGGATTATTACCAGAATATTCTTCCTTTTGTAAAAGTATGTGATTAGAATGGTCAAAAACCTTTACTGGGCAATGCCAGAATGGAGGACATTATGCTAATGTATGAGAGGGTTTAGACAGAATAAAATCCTGCAGTTTCCCTCTAGGAAAGCTGCAGGCGATGGGGGGGGGGGTGCAGCCCAAACTCAAGGTGTTCCTCACAGCCCTCAGCAACCTTAAATGCAAATGGAGAGCATTCAGTTTAAGTGCTTGCGTGCCGAGAGACCTGGCAAAGAAATGTTATTTCCCAGGAAGCCTCAATCAAGGTCAGAACCTGCGAAGCCAGGCACCTTGAAGGCCCTGGCAGTGCCCCAGCTGACAGGAGCAGAATCCCCACAGCTGACTGGGAGAAACGTGGCCCTGCACTGCTGGGAAAAGCTAAGTCTGAGCACACGGGCTAATACTCATGATCATCAGCACTCATCCAGGGAAGACGGGAGCTCAAGTTTAAAAAGCTTGTCTGCAATATATGCAAGGTTCTGGGTAATGAGTTATGAGGAAAATGTTCGGAAATCAGAAACCAAAGGACCTTCTAGAACTGTGTGGCACCTATTCAGTTATCCTCCTTTGGGTCATACACTCACGTTCTTGGATGCTGCTTGAAATCTGTTTTCTCCCCTTAAAGATCTGCTCAAAAGGCTAGAAAGGACTGAGCATAACACATCTGCCTGTCCAGCTGCACGGAACAGCCCGGCCTCCAGGTGTCGGCCCCTCATGTGCCCGGCTCCTCTGCTGTGTTTTACTGTGTGAGCCCTGCTCGGAGCTGGGGCCATTCATCTCCTGCAAGGCAGGCCAGTGTGGGGGAGCAGAAGTGTGCAGAGCTGATAGGCAGCCTGTTGCGTTTAGGTTTAAGATTTATAAAAAAATAAAATAAAATAACACAGAATGCACATAGCAAACACTGGAGTGCCTACCACCCAGACATAACTGGTGTTTCCCTCTGTTCATCACTGTTACTTCAGACAAACTTAGAGTCCTTGCTGTTCTCATTCAGAGTCTCTCTCCTCCTCCTCTCTCCAGAAGCAGCCACTATCATGAATTCTCTGTGTATTCTGCCAGTAAAGTTTGGGGCGGCTTATATCCCACTGTCAGAGTTGGAAGGTATATTAGGGGCTAATCTTTTCCTACTTTAAAATGATGATATTAAAGCCTAGAGGAGAGAATTCTCCAGGAGTCCAGTGGTTAGGACTGCTCGCTGTTTCCACTTCAGGGGGCGCGGGTTTGATCGCTGGTCTGGGAACTAAGATTCCGCATGACGTGTGGCATGGCCAAAAAAATCAATCAATAAAATAAAATAATAAAGCCTAGAGGAGGGCTTCCATGGTGGCACAGTGGTTGAGGGTCTGCCTGCCGATGCAGGGGACACGGGTTCGTGCCCCGGTCCAGGAAGATCCCATATGCTGCGGAGCGGCTGGGCCCATGAGCCATAGCCGCTGAGCCTGCGCGTCTGGAGCCTGTGCTCTGCAATGGGAGAGGCCACAACAGTGAGAGGCCTGAGTACCGCAAAAAAAAATAATAATAATAATTAATTAATTAATTAAAAAATATATATATATATATATATGCATATAGAAAAAAGACTGGGGAAAAAACCACCTGAGTATCAACAACAATTATTTCTGGGAAGTGGAATCACTTGTGATTTCTAGTTTCTTCCTTGCTTGTCCAGATTTTGTAAATTCCCTTCAATGAACATGTTTGCTTTTGTAATAAGAAAATTATAAAAATCGCAAACTATAATATATAACATAAATGTGTATTATGTAAACTATACATAATATAGTTATGTATTTGCTTAAATAAACTGAAATCTCATGGAGCCAAAATATAAAATTATTCTCATTTATGAAAAAAAAATATTTCACTTGTTCTAGAACCTGAGGTGTAATGTTCTAGTAGTCAAAATTCCCAAATAGGGCTTCCCTGGTGGCGCAGTGGTTAAGAATCTACCTACCAATGCAGGGGACAATGGTTTGAGCCCTGGTCCGGGAAGATCCCACATGCCACAGAGCAATTAAGCCTGTGCACCACAACTACTGAGCCTGCGCTCTAGAGCCCGTGAGCCACAACTACTGAGCCTGTGTGCCACAACTACTGAAGCCCATGTGCCTAGAGCCCATGCTCCACAGCAAGAGAAGCCACCGCAATGAGAAGCCCGTGCACTGCAACGAAGAGCAGCCCCTGCTCGCCGCAACTAGAGAAAGCCTGCGCGCAGCAACAAAGACCCAACAGAGCCAAAAATAAATAAATAAATTTATTTTTTAAAAAGAATTCCCAAATAATGACGTGATTGCGAAAGAAAACATACGCTCCTAAACTTACAAGAGGTAAAGAATGACTTATGAGACCTTAAGACTTGAACAAGATGGTTATTTAGAGGCTGAGTTAATTCCTTTAAGAGAACCATGCTGCCCAGTGAAGTTCTTCAAAGGAACATTCTCACCTGACAGTATATCTCAAGTGTAGCCATAATGTCTGTTGTCTTTTTTATGTTTGATAAGCTACTCCTCAGTCAAGCTTTTCTTTTAACTTATTTTTTGCTTAAAATGAAATATGAACAAGCAAAAAAAACAGAACAAAACAGTATTTCTTTCCTGAAAAGGGCATTTCTAATTTTGCCACTAACTTACCAACAATTTGGGGGAAGCTTTAGATGATTGATTATTAATTATTTGGAGCTTCAGATTCCTCCATAGAAAATGAAGTACTGATAAATGTTTCCTCTAAACTTAAAATTCTGTAGTTCTATGAATATAACAAAATTCACATTCAAATCGTCATCTGCATATACAGGATCATTCTGAAAGAAAGAGGAATGCCAACTGACCCACAGTTCTACCTCCATTTGTACCAAAAGATGTGTTTGGGGTTAGTGAAACATCACTACTGTATTTGAATTGAGTGCCCTTTATATAGGCTGATAACCAGACCAGTCCCAATGGAAATACTTGCTCTGATAATCATTTAATTATTGTAAAAATATACATACATGAGTAATAGAGTTAGCTAGCTCTTCCGCATTGTGTGTGTGTGGGGGGAGGTACAGAATCAAAAGCAGTGGAACAGTTTAGATGGCAGAGAGCAGCTAATGATGACAGCTGGCTTTGGTCATAAGATGACAGTGGGGCTTCCCTGGTGGCACAGTGGTTGAGAGTCCACCTGCCGATGCAGGTGATGCGGGTTCGTGCCCTGGTCCGGGAAGATCCCAAATGCCGCGGAGCGGCTGGGCCTGTGAGCCATGGCCGCTGAGCCTGCACATCCGGAGCCTGTGCTCCGCAGTGGGAGGGGCCACAGCAGTGAGAGGCTCCCGGAACCAAAAAAAAAAAAAAAAAAAAAAAGACAGGAACCACAGGTGAGGAAGCATCAAAAATGACTTTACCTAGTTCACAGATTTGCCTATTTAAATAAATAAGCAAAAGCAAACAAACAAGAGAGGACCTTGCGAGGATAAATGACCACACTGTGCTAGGACTGAAATGAATTACTGATTCAGCCTCATGTAGCTGGGGTCCAAGGAAAAAGAAAAAGAACTTAATTGGACCCATAAAGGATTGTCCTAGCTCCTGGCAACTGTAGTCAAGAATAACTGATGTGACTTTTTTAAAAGTTTTTAAGCAAAACACATTTTCTTCCTTGTTTCATTACATATCATAAATTTAGATGAAACTTGGAAATCTTAGTTCAGAAAACTTGCTTTTGAAATTATAATCCTTTATCCCTTAGCTAGCATACGTTTCTCAGAACTTCTTAGAAGCTAAGCATCCTGCAGCATTTGACATTTGCTGGGGTCCAGATAATAGGATGAGATGAGAAGTGATTGCTATTGTTTTTATTTTAACAGTATTATTGTCCTCTGTCACTTCAATTCCCGATCTCAACATTGGTGGAGTTCATGGTAGATATTTTGGAATATATTGTTAAGTTCTCTAGTTTTAGAAAACAGAGAGGAAAAGGCCACTAAAAAAAAAAGGTCAAAGAAATTAGTGGTTATTTTCCCTCTTCATACAACTAAGAAAAGGATGAAGATGAACTCCTCCTAAACTCACATCTTTTGTACCCTGCAGGTAGATCTCTCTGAAAGGCCCAGCACAAAAGCATTTGTGCCTGGCCGTGGGAAAAATGTGTGTGACCACGAGGTGGTCAGAAAATCCATAACCTAGGTATTCAGGAAT